GGAACAAATAATGCCACTGATGGGACTGGTCCCATGAAATATACCTGAGTGCTCTTAGGAACAGACAGAAGAAAATGCCTAGCCAAGATGCGGTTTGAAACGTGTACACCAAAATCACTCCTGTTTTAAAGTCCTGCAGGCAGCGTAGGCTCCCGGTGGTGGGTGCTGCGGGCCCACTGGTGGTGAGCAGCCTGGGGGCAGCTGCCTCAGGGTCCTGCCACCAGTGGGACCCACATTTCGGCCCAGGTCCTGTCAGAGCCTGGCGGCCCCAGTCCTGCACCCCACCTTGTGCCCTGACCCCCATTTCACAGCCAGCTCCACTTCAGCACAGCCTCCTCCCCACAGGCCTGTCTGGTGCTCGCTGGAGTTTTGGCCAGTAACCGTCGCTGGACCCGACCTGCTCTTCTCATTTGGCTGCTATGGGATGGTGACCCTTTTTCTGGAAGTCACTGTCCTTGTGCACCTTGTCACCCACATTCTGCTCCTGGCTCGCCTCCTCTTGGGCAGCAATCCACCCTTGCTGCTCCCTCACATGCACTTCCATCTGAAAGCTGACTTTGCATCGAGGAGTTTTTTCAAAGGGCTGTGTTCATGGAGAGATAATTGTTACATCACATGCTAGCAAGTGGCACCAGTAATAAAAGGCAATTTTGTGTTTGTGTGTATGGGAAAATTCTGTATCAGCACAGCTTTCATATAACAGAGCTTGTGAATAATGCTTTTTACCATCTGTAGTTGGCAAGGAGACTTTGTCCCCTCCTGGCAAGTGATGACATGGCCTCAATAAAACATGACTTTGTCATCTCCTGGCTGAAATGCAGCAGCACAGAATAAGGGGATATGAAGTCATCAGCCTTTATGGTTAATACCAGAATGCAGCAAGCCAGGCCCCAAGCAATCCAAGAAATTATCAAAGTGCTTGTTTCTTTCCTAATCTTCCAGGCACTGAGTGAACGGGGCCATTACACCCTGAAGATTCCCCGAAGGGCTGTAAGCTAAACAGACTTGCTCTTAACCACAGCCTGTTACCAGGTAACTTTTCTTTTGCCAGTTCTGTTGGCAGACCTGTTCTTCCTTTGCTTAAAAGAGTTACAGTTCTTGGCTTTAATAAAAGATGTACATAGTTCAGCAGACTGAAAGGAATAAATTTTAAATAATAAAATAATTTCATTTTGCCTTGGAAAGGAAGTAAGAGTTATGAACAACAAATGGCAGCTGAGTGCTTCCTTGGAAAGAGCTACAGTAAGAAGGTTATGAGGGAGACGCAAAAGGTCCTCAACAGAACGGAATGAAACAGATCCAGCAATGGTTCTCCAGGAACCAGGAGTTTTGCCACCAGTGTTTAAGGGAGCAACATCTACTCCAGTTAACAGAGCACTTCTCAGAATCTTTGCTTTTACATCAAAAGTTGTGTGAAATTTATTGTCAATTTAGCTCTCTTCTTCTTAAGCCAAGTGTTACAAGTTCTGCAGCTACAGGTTCTCCTTGAGATTTGAATGCAATCTGTGTTTAGGATTTTATTGCTACTTTTAAATCATAGGATTCAAGAAGCATCTGGTTTTACAGCATCATTGGTAAACCCAGTCAAAACAAACGCAGACTTTAGCCCTATTCAGCATGCGTTTGTCCTATGTCTGTGTGAATCACCTCATGTCATGCTCCTTTGTGGAGCAGCATCACAGATATGCTGAACATCATAACAAAATTAATTGTCTCTGCTTGTAAAAGCTAAGAGATCTTTTTTCTACCTGGAACAAAGTGAAAAGAAGATGACTTTGACAACATACAAGAATCTCAGTTTTCAAAGCTTTCCTTTTATTCTTGTTTCTGGACCCTGATACTCCCCGTAGTCCCTCGACCCTCCTGCTAGCGTGCATGCCATGTAGTTGAAAGTTGACTTTTTAGAGCCATTTTAAGCCAAAGCACACAATCTTATCCTCTCAAGCATTTTAAGCCTGCGCAGTTACACAATCTGGGTAGGGTCAATATAACCTATTGACAAACTGTGGCCCAGAGCAGTACTTTGCTTAGTGAAACCATGACCACACCTTTTAAATAAAAGCAATGATTTACCTGAATGACCACCTCCGATATTGGGCATTTCATGTCTGTAGCCTATGCTGATATATAATGGTACATGATGCTACACATGACATCTGCCTTCCACTAAACCTTTGAAATAATTAGGACTGGATACAAACGCAGATGGAAAAATGGCCAAAGTGCTAATGAACTGTGTTAGCTGAAAATGACCAATGGCATAAGATAAGTAAAAAGGTAATACAGTAAATCATGATTTTGTAGACAGTTTCACTAACTGTTAAATGTGAAGCTGTGTGCAGAACTAGGCATGGAGTGAAACTGGACCTAGATGAGCTTTTTCACCAGCCCTGGAAGAACAAAGCCTCATTTCCTCAAGTGCTCTCAGCGTACTTAAAATACGCCCAGTTCACTCTCCCTGCATCCCAAAGCTTTCTTCTCCTTTTTTTTGCCAGATTTCCCAGACCTCCTCCTTGTCCCAGCCTACTACCCGGGCAGGCTGGAGGAATGCCTGCTTGCAATGTATGACCATGAAAAATACTAAAAAATGCGGAGTTTACAACTGTGAGGGTATCAAAGACTTGCCCTGAGTTCCAACTGCTCGGTTTGAAACTGAAGTTAAGGGACAGCTGTAGAAGAAGCATGGCTACAATCCATTTTTTGACTACTTGTAGCTACTGACAGCTGTTTCTATACCGTAAGCTGCAAATGTAGTTGTTATCAGCAGGATTTTATTATTTCCATATGTTAGGAGAAAAGTCAAGATGTGAAAGGCTAGAACCAAACGACCCTCTTGCTGCTGCAGGCTCAGCTCATTCAGATCTGCTGTGAGGACAGCTTGCTGAATGACCTGGCAAAGTACAGATAGCCACTGTTTATGTTTTCTTAGCTGCTCCGTAAATATGTCCCAGTCATGCTGGGGCATATTGCTTAGCACTATACATTTAGTGATGGGCAGTTCAAAATGAAGTGATGTTACACGTTATGTCACAAACATAATCAGTATTATGGCTACAAATTTTACCCTTAAAATGTATTCTGTCAAAACCACCAACCCTGCCTTGTAACATTTTCCTCTGCCAAGGCAAAATTTGGATGAGCTGCACATTAAATGTGGAACGGTTTCAAAACCATCTGCAGGCAGAAATTATTTATAAGTGTCTGTTGTTCACAGCTAAAATAGTCTCCTGTTACAGAGTGTTCTGATGCAGCATAGTGCTGGTGTACAGCTCTCCTCAACACGACCACGACCTCCAAAACAACAGTACTCAACTCTGTGCTTACCGTCAACCAGGAACACGAAGCGTTTGCTTTCCCACAGTTTCACTGAAAGCTAAAAATAATGCTTTACACAGAAGTACTTCCATTTAAACAAGCAGGACTACTTGTAAGCACCAATTCCAGCACATGGGTAAAGGCTGGTATGGAATCATAGAACTGCTTTGGCTGGAAAAGACCTTTATGATCATCAAAGGTCAAATACTGATTGGTTACACAGTTGAGCACTGGGGGTCTGGCCTAATGTCTGAATATTTGTTTTCATCAGTGCAATTCCACTAAAACACATATTCTTACATGAAAAATATATAGATAATGCCACATTAAATCACGTTGCTTAAAGTGAAAAGTTAACGCTTCACAGAATTGAAATTATTTTTAATTAGAATAACAGTAGGTGTCTCTGTAAGAAGAGATTACATGACGTTTTCACTATACACAGATAAAGGCCTGTCTTGTATTTTTTGTCCTGGCTGGCTTTTAGTTCACCAACAGCCATTTTCTCATCTCACGCCCCTAGCTCCTTTCTCTGAGGGGTCATGTGGGTGGGGAGCTCCTGGGCATCACCTTGGCCCAGAGAAGCTGACCAGCCTCAGCTGCCTTACAGCTGGAGGGGCACAGGAACTGTCCTCAGTTCCTCCAGCAGCTACTCACCAGGCTTCTCTGCTCAGCTGATGCATTTTAGCCTTGAGCTGCAAAACGCCCGTTGTGCCTTTGTAGGAGGTATCTCCATTCATGCCAAATACACCGTTTCATTGTGTTTACACAACAGGTTGAAACAAAATACTGTTCCTCTGTTCCTAAAGCATGACTTTGGCAGTTTACTGACCCATTTCACCATCTCCTCCATACTCCAACAAGGAACCTCTTTATGAGGGTTATGTTTCCAAACAGTGCGACTGCTTTTGCTGCAAGAACATAAACCTCCCAGGCAGGGCAGGCTTACTCTTCACTGCCTTTCCTTAGGTCTGTGAGTTGACTCATACGTGTGCTCAGAAAATAAGGACTCAATACAAAACCCATTTCCTCTCATTTAAACACTTGCAGTAACTCAAAGCAGTGAAGAAAACAAAATAGGGACATACAGTATGAACACGGTCTTCTACAGACCAACAGACAGCTATGAAAGATACCCAGACTCAGGTGGTTCTCCCAGTTCAGAGAAGAAACATCTCCTTGACTTCTGATCTATACTACATTCAAAGTATTCTGATAGCCGATTTTGAAGTAATTTTAAGTTTTCAAGAAAAAAGCAACATGGCTATTAGTTGAGTGAGGAGAACAGCATGGTGATATTTTTCTGATGAATAAATGCTTCTAGTATACAGCCAGTGGGAATCCTGTTGATTCTGGAACAAAACATGCATAAAAACTTTATAATATGGCAGCACTTAGAGTATTTTGAATGGATTTACTAGTGAATATTCCTCTCTCAGACACAGTGTTACCATTTTCCCCCTTTTTTCTTTTGTTTCTTTACATATTTTCATTACTTAAAAATACCTAGATTTATTCAAGTAATCTTGAAAAATAACTTAGCAGTGTTTGAAAACTTGATTTTGCACTTTTTAGTGGCAGCACCTACATACTATCAAGACAAAATTTTAATCTACACAGTTTCAACAGAGAGACCTTCTCATACCTTATTAAACCACTCTCAAACCACTTATAAAAGAGGGATATTAAAAGCAAATCCACCTGCTGTGATACCACTGTTCTCCACATTCATTACAAATAACATAAGTCAACATTTGCTCATCTGGATTTGTGTTTCGCACCCAGCCTGGCAGAAAGAGCGTTCCTCTGGCGATCAGAGTGACAGTGCAATCAAATTTTTCACAGCGCCTACACTTTATTTTGTTTGTCTGCGTGCCATTGGTAACTTGTGGGAGCTGGTGCTCCCGAACAGACGATTCCGCATACAGAGCCCGGAGCTCTTTCAGTTCATCGCTGGCCATTTCCATCACTGTCATCTCAGCAAACGCCTTTGGACTCAATGTTCCTGAAAAAAGGTTATGTTTTAAGTGCCAACTTTTAGGGTTCTTCAGGTTAGAGATTTTGCTTCTGATGCAGTTTTTATATTTTCTGTCATTTTTAGCATGAAGAGTAAAAACATGTTCTTCGATTTCTTTAGCTAGCTCTAACCATTTATCAGTTTCTTCTTTGTCTTTGGTAGAACCAGCCAAAGTGTTATAAAGAAGATCTGTACATTTACGCCTCAGAGCTCCCATCTGATTCTGCTGCAGACTTGCTTCGCTAACAAAAGGTTTAGAATCTTCATTATCAGTGTGTTGTTCCTCAGAAGAAAGCTGATTCGTGCTGGTTTCTGCGTTGTCTTCTACCACATTTTTAACAGTTTGCGATGGAATCAAGATTTTAGAACTAGTAGCATCTAAGGCCTCCTGCTGATGTGGTTTTTCAGACAGTGACTGCTCTCCAGGGACCACACTGAGATGTTCCATTTCCTCTTTTGGATACACAGAAACTGACTCTTTAACTTGCATTGACTGAACACGGTTATTTTTGTAAAGTGCTTTCCACCTTGATAACAACTGCTTTGCTCTCTTTTTCAGCTCTGCTGAAGGACAGCTCTTGAGTACTCTGTATACAGCCTTGGTAATTTCTGTCCCCTGAAGATATTCTATAGTCATATCAACATCTTGCAGTTCCTTAAGATGATCCTCAATATCTTGGAAATTGTTCTCAGACAGTAGTCTTTCAATACAATGGGCTCTGCGTACAATATTTTTCCGGTCAGACATTTTTAAACCTGAAAGCGAAAAAATGTTGATCACATTTATTGCAGTTATGACATTAATCCATTTTCTGTATTTTCTCCCAAGGTTTCCTTTTCATTTTATGTTATATTATACTATTATTTTTGTTTTATATGTACATCTCTGGCTTTGCCAGCTTTTTCTTTATATTATGTACAGTAGCTAGTGGAGCAAATGCAAAATTCAGAGTGGCCTGTGTCCTGGAAAAATGCAAGTCAGCGTGCTACTCTAAGTCCTGCAAGGAACCTACTGGTGGGAAGGAGAGCCCACAGGCACGTCTGCTGGGGTAGGGTATGGCACTAATTTCTAAGGAAAACCACAGTACCTTGCCAAAACTCACAGTAACAAAGACACTGCTAGCAGTAAAAATGCTTGTCATGCTTGTTTTCTACAGGTGCACACCACAAGTTCACAGGGAGACTCCACTCCACAGGAAGGTAGGTAACTACACACCTGCTCTGCCCTGCAGGGCTCCAGGGAGACCTCCCAGTGTTTGCGCATTAGTAGGCTCTAGTACTGCTGGACTACGAAGAAGCAGTGAAATTCAGCATTTTTCACCAAAAGCACCAGATGATCACCTCTTGATACACTTACCATATGATAAGCTTTCCAGAAAGAAAAAGGAGGCCTTACAGGCAACGTATCTCCCCCTCCTCACACATACAGAGAAACAGTAAATAGAATTGTAGGGGTTTTACAGTATTGATGTCAACAAATTGAATTTCATATAAGAATGCTGGGTTTGGAAAATCAGTTTGTGTTTCTGTCACAGAAATGTAAAGTCTATTAAAAACCATGTCTGGGACCTTCTGCTCTAACAGGAATTTGAGTAACATAACGATCTCACACCGAGTACATTCCGTAAGAGCTTCCTGACAATCTCCAAAGGCAGACTTGTGAGTAAACACTCTTTTAATCTGAAGGTTGTAAGGACATCAAAGTTTACTGCAAGACTCCTAACCCAGGGAGATGACTGCTGTCATCTTTCCAGAATGCAAATGCAAAATAACCTACCTCAGAAGATCTGACTTATGGCTCAACTTTTGTGAACCTACATTTAAACGTCTTTTCCATTTTTTCACAGTTTTCAACCATCTGACTACAGATAACTCAGTACAAGTTGCAATGACACGGAATAATAGAAAAAATAAAGTGGCTCCAAAAACTCCACGTCGTAAGATACTTTTTTGGTTGCTTTTTTTTTGGCTGTTGTGTGTTTGGTTGGGTTTGTTTTGTTGTTGTTGTTCTAAACCAATCATTCCTGTAACTATAACCTAACCTTACAAGTTTTTTTTTTTTTTCACAAATCCTTAGAATAAATGCTGAAATGTTTGGCTATCCATGGTTTTGTTATTAATAAAACCTGCAAGTTTCCACTTTGTTTCTCATGGCAAAGCCTTTAGTTAAAATCAAATATACAGGTTTTGGCATTAGAAGACTTATTTGGAGTAGGGAATAATGTGTAACACAGCTAGGTTTTTAAGAAATTTGTTTGGTTTTGCCACTATATGTTGTAGCCTGCATAATGGAGAATCACTGATACATGCAAAAATTACGCATATGCATTAAGAATGATCCAAAAAACAAAATTAGAAAGTTTAAGAAAATTTGCATACTGAAATGCTGGGGTTTGAACCCCGAGCCCCGGAATTCAGGTTGACACATGGGTCATGCCCACAGCCCTTCATACAGAGGTGGTAAGTTTGCCTTATCCCTTCCCCCCAGGGTGCGGCCGGCCCTGCAGGGAGAGCCATAAGGGAAATGAGCCCCAGGGGTCTCGCACTGAGTTGACAAAGGTCAGGTGTCTGCTTGGGGATAAAAGCTGGGACCACTGGCAGGGAGTCAGGAGTGTCTGTCTGTGGAGTGCACTCCACAGAGCTTCCTGGTTCAGGGCAGACCTCCTGACTCTCCCTGCAGCTGGGCCCTGGTCTGTCTAGGCCTTTGCAAACGTGGGTCGATCGGGTGAGAGTTGCCATGTGGGCACCCTTTTCTTACGTGTTTAACTGGCTGGGCTGGCTGTTTCCCATGCCCACCGTGGGCAACCTCGGTTCACTGTTTGTACCCCCTGTTGTGGGCTGGGTCATGTTGTTTGTGGGATCGTTGGGGGTGGCGTCGATCATGCATGAGCGTGTTGACTTGTTTGGACCCCCGTCGGTCATTCATATAGTAACATTTCTGTCTACAATACAGTCTGCATATTGGTTCATCTCCCTGCTGGTGTTATCATTTTTGTTGGGCCTGGTCATTGGCAACACACATGCTCACATTATTTTATTTAATATTAACTCACACAGCAGACAGATATCTGTGATTTTTCTTTTTTTTTTAATTTCAGACTTTTTCCTCCAGACTTTGCTTCCAAAGAATTAAATTAACCAGCTATTGTGGGCATGGAATCTGACCAAAACCTACTGACTTGAATGACTTTTTCAAGCACTCGGTGGAGATGTTATGAGTTTTCAGGCCTTTGATGTACTTTTTATATGTCACCACAACTTGGAATTAGGGATTTCTTCAATTAGTAAACAGTAAATAGCGGAACACATTTTAATGGGAGCTGCAAAGCGAAGGTTTGGGGCTACTCTGCAGCAAATTTAAGTAAGTGAGCCTGACATAACTCAGTGGATCTTAGCCCATAATGGCAGTCTGGTTCCTACATGACCCTCAACCGTTCACCTGCTATGCAAGAGATCACATTCTGTCTCTTCCAAAAGTTTCTCTTTATAGCTGCTAACAAGAAGCAAGCTGGACTAGTAAACTTTGAACTGAGGTCCCCCCTACTGCCCTTCCCCTTGCTAGCTCTGGCATCATGTTACAGTTTGATGATCAAGGCAGGGTAGCTCAAGAACAATGAAACCTGCCTGTCAACTCTCACGCTGTTTCTAAACTGCGGTATCTACAAATTGCTAATTGCTATTTTTGGAAATTCTTTAAAGTTAAAAACACACCCCTCTATAATCCTAAGAGGTACCCAAGGCACCTATTTCCCTGCAGCCATAGCATTAGTCAAGTAAGCTCGCATATGTTTTGACATATTAAATAAAAAAAAAGGGATTTCAGAAAGCAGTCTCATGGCTTAAGTAAGATTTCCTTTTGATTCCTTTCTATCAAGCCCTTTGACCAAAAAATGCTCAGTGCATTGCTAGGTGCAGATTTACACAGAAAATACTAGTAACACTATTATCCTGTGTGCTAAAAGGAGAATTAAATGTAGAATGCAGAACTGACTGGAGTGGGTGTTAAGTGTTCTTCTTTTCTTAGAAGTCAGTCATCCAGATGTGTGCACAAAAGCAGTGTTTTGTCTGAAGTCGCATGCATACAGATTCTACTCTGAAAAAAAGTCATCTGCCTGACACAGACTGATAAGGCCAGCTACACAAATCCATATTTAAGGGAACTCACAGACAGATTTCTTGCACCATCACTGTTTCCATGATGAAATCTCCTGAGCATGGGGAGAGAGAAGGGACGAGTGACAGAGCTGGGTAATTTGCACGCTCTGTTGCTTTTTATGACCACCTGCCCAGCTAATTTGTTTTCTGCATGACAGAAATAAGTTCCAACTTCAGATAGGGCCTCAGAGCTCCACAAAAGAAACGGACAGAGACAGAGAACAGAAACCTTCATCTGTTTCTATAATCCTGAAAACAGACGAACCTGTTGAATATCCACAGTGAATATTCTCTGCATTCACTAGACATGTGTTTAAACAGCTCATTCTTGTCTGCCATATTGAAGCCGTGCAACACCTCAGCAATAGCTATTACAGAAACTACTTGGCTACTCAAGAAGAGGAACAGGACTCATTTTTTCAGCAGTTAAGTTGAACCCTATGCATCACCATACTGAAAAGCACGTATGATTGCATCTGCTCATCTGTTCTGCTGCAGGAACATGCAGAGGTTGAGAGTGGAAGGAGGGGTTTTCTCACCCAAGGC